GACACCTTGATTCAAAGGACCTAAGAAAGCTTGATGGAAAAAAATGCCAATCAGTGGGATGACACAGGGAGTTAAATATCAGACATTTAAGTTGTCCAAATGACCCCTGTGAAGACATGGTCATCAGTTTATGGGTTATATGTGTATTGGTGTTGGGTTATGTTTAATTATGTTGTACCAGGTAACCTGTTCATCAAAAGACTGTCAGCACCACCCCTCGTTAGCTCCCTTTGTACTCTGAAGGAGCTCAGGACAATGACATTCTCCTGCGTCTGGCCAGACTCCTGCTATGGCTGTCTGGAGCTCTTTAACAGGTGGACCCCTGTGGGTTGTGCAGACAGAATGTCTATGGAGGGCAGGGTGGATGTGATGGGATTATAATCTGATCTGATCACTTTCTGTATAAAAGGTTGCACAGTTGCTCAATAAATTATAGTTTGTTTTACCCTACACCCTAAACCCTTCTATACTCTATCCAAAGCAAAAACATATTTTGGCTACACATACACATACATGTTAGACTTACCTGTAACATTAAACCTTTCTTACCCTTCCCCATGTTAAAACCGTGTATGCATACTTACCCCTCCTGCACATGGAGTCCTTTGACCAAGAGACCAGCACTTCCTGAGCTAAAAGATATAAAATGCCAAAATCCTGGTTATTATGACTGTGATTGTTGTATTAGCGATTTATCCCTTGCTGCTCTATGCCTGGCTTGTATAAGCAGATATAATCACCACGGACAATCCTTACCAGATAGCTGAACTCACCAAATACCTTTTTATCCATGAAGATCTTTATTAAATGCAGCAGATTACAGCAGGCGACAGGATGCAGTAGATGATTGAACAGACGGTATTTGCAGGTCAAAACATGGTAATGTTTCCACCCATGTGAGCAGATTAAGATGTGACCATTGCACAGTCAGCCATGATACCAGAACGACTACTTGGACCAGAAGGGGGAAATACATCATAAATGGGCGGGAACACAGAAAAACATGGTGCAATAACCAAAATGCCCACAAGATGGCAGTATATTATCAAGCTAAACTAACGATATGCTAGTAATGCTCAAGTTAATATAAATATTAACCATGGCTATGTATTGTGTCATGTTTTCATACAACTGTTGTAACAGCACACTGGTATTTGAATCTACTGCTTTTGCTAGCCAGCCTGTTACTTTAAATGGTAAGCCATTTTTAAAAGCTAAAAGAATCTACCAAATGTCAGTAATCCATGTGTTTTTTTTTTAGAAAGGATCTTTGCTGTATATTAAATCTTTTCTTAAAATTATCTATATTTGTTAATACTTCTAAATGCTTTTTTCCTCAATTAACTGTTTATTTATGTATTTGGCCCCTGCTCACAAACATATAATGCTTTGTTGTACCCCCTAATACTAAGGACTTGTTCACACCAAATCAAGTGCGTTCCAGCACAGTTGGCTGCTGGAATGCACTGGATCGCACTGGAGGGTGCGTGGCGGTGCATTCAAGTCAATGGCACCGCAATCATGCCCCCCGCCCACAGTGTGATCGCCCACACCAGAACACATGGCATTGCTGTGCTACGTGTTCTGGTGCCGGCGAACGCATGGCGTGGCTGCACTGCCATTGACTTGAATGCACCCCCAGGCCCCCTCCCATCCCCGAAACCCAGGGAGCTGGACAGTATGTGATCCAGTGTGTTCCAGCAGCTCACCGTGCTGGAACGCACTGGAATTGGTGTGAACAAGCCCGTAAACCTAAATTACCTACAACAACAAAATAACAATGCCCTAACCAAGGCCCAAATTACCAATTAACAGTTCCCAGCCAAGAAGGGCATTTTATTATGTTCTTATACAATGGCATTTTTCTGTGCTTCTCTAGGAAACCCTGTTATCACACTGATCCGTGCACTTTATAAAATATAAATAAGATATCTTTATCCAAATGTAAAAAAGGGGGAGCCGCACTTCAGAGGTAAATCTCCCATACAATGTTTAATCCATGAGCATAAATAAGCCGTACACTGACACACAACTTTACTGACACACAATGTTAGAGCGTAAAGTACAGCTTATTTATGCTCATGGATTAAACAGCGCATGGAAGATTTACCTCTGGAGTGTGGCTCCCCCTTTTTTACACTTGAATTTAGTGCCTGTGAGGCTGTGTCTTGCCCCTGGAGCCAGAACCTGACAAAAGCACATGAGAGCAGTGTATTTGTTTTGTGTGATCATTGAGACATTTTAATGTTTAATGAATTTTAAACCTCCTAGTATAACAAACAAAAAACCCATGTAGAAATGTAGTATGCAGATTCAGAGGTATCCACAGGCTGGGTGTCACCCGTGGCAGGTAGCGTCATCATGCATGTGCATAATGTTGTCACAAGCAATTAACTGCCAGCAGCCATCATAGTGATGGACGCCAGCGCGCAGAGGAGGGGATGTTCATCCGGCGGCATAAGGTATGCCACCAGATCCTCTCCTCTCTCGTGCAGCTGTCGGGTTCTCGGCCCATGGCCGAGTGCTCAACTTTCAGAGGGGGTGACTGCCAGTCATTTTGGTGTTACCCCTTCTGATGGTGTCACCCAGGTGGGCCGAACCCCACTTGCGATGCCACTGTGCAGACTAGTGTTCTTCCACAATTTTGCTATTCTATATACTAGACTTTGTGGCCTTTCCACAAACCCCCAGTTGGTGTTCCTAGAAGAATTTAACCAGTTGGAGAAAACACATAAGCTTTAAAAAAGCATTTATTCAGACAAACTCATAAATGTGATGATGTATTTAGTCAAATTATTGGCTGCTCTGAAGTGGTAATGCATGTAAAACAATGAGTTGATGGGATTAAATAACCCTACCAGGAGCTAGTTCTCATTAAAAAATCATAAATATTAAAAGATGTAAATAGTGAATATATTTCTGAGCACACACTGGCAAAGCACAGACTGGTTCAACCTGCCAAAGCTATATGTCTGCAATATTATTAATGATATTATTGCCATATGCTAAGACAGACAAAATTCTCTTGGATACTTCATTTTACATTCAATCTTACATTTCTTCATCTGTACAAAGACAGATGTTCTGCTGTGGGACATATTCATGTATTGGATGTGATATCCTCCATGGGCCCACCATGCTTTGGGCCCCAGTCTCTCACCCATGCACTTTAATCTCATATTTCTCTCATAAACTTGAATTTTGTTATCCTGAAGCACAAGGAGCTGTAAACATTATTAAAAGATTATATTATTACGACTAAATTAAAAGGTACATTTTAATGATTTTCCAAGCACTAAATATGCTGAATATAATTGCTTTGCCTTCTAGTTATTTTCATATTGTTTTCTTAAAGAGTATGCACATGCAAACTGGAAATTTCTTGCCTTTTTAGAATACATCCTGCTAGTAACATGGTGTTGCCTTTCTTCCCTGAAGTTCAGGCCTTTCTTAGGATGCAGATCTGCTGTTACAGATCTCCCTTATCTTAGTATTTTGGTATAATCGTATTATTGTTGTCAGACTTTAGTCTGGCTTGCATTTCATACAGCAAAATGATGGGAGTCTGTGAATTGTGGGAACCCCGTAATGTTACTGCACAGATGGGTCCAATCACACGATTGCTATGCTGTATTCATTTACCAGCTCCACAATGCAATTTTCCTTCTAGAACATAGCTATAAGTATATAACCAGAGAGAGACTAGAAGAAGGGGTGCCTCAAAATGTTTACACAGCATTATGTCTCTCATGATGAACAGGATTCCTGATGTGAAGGGAGGAGTCCTGATGTGATAAAGGGGGACTCTGTTGTCAAAGAGGTTGACTCTGATGTAAAAGAAGGGGGCTCTTAATGTGAAAGGGGAGATCCTGATATGAAAGTGTGGGGGGCTTTGATGTAAATAAGGCTCCTAATGTGAAGGGGAAACCCCACTTTTTTTGTGTTTTTGCGTGGGGTCCCCCTTTGCAATTCATACCAGACTCATATCTCATATAAGTCCCTGGTATAGGTTTTGGAGGGACTACATTTCTTTTTTTACATGTTATTTTACATGTTAATAGTAACATTTTTTTTTACATTTTAGACTAGGGTTGCCTTGAGATTTGGCATACTTTTAAAGGGCACAGTGACTGAACAAAGGTTGAGTATATGTGTTGGTGGAGCCTGACAGCTGCAACTGTAGGATGATCAACAGATCTGACAAGTACAGTAAGTAGTTCAGAAGAGGGTGTAACAATGAGATTTAACCCTTCCCACTAACAATTTTTTAAAAAGCATACCCCAGCATGATGACCTGTGCCAGGGTTACATTAATAATAGTTTTCCTCTTTGAGAGCCAGAAGCTGACACTTTGCATGGATGCCGGGTCTCAATCTCGGCTGTCACTAACAGCTCAGGTTCCCATTAACAAGCAGAAAGCACTCAGAGTGTTTTTCGTTCATATGATCACTATGTTAACTATGATAACATAGATTACTATGTACTATTATCACATGAACTGTAATCACATGCAAGCTGGAAGATTCAATGAAAAAAAATATACGTCTTCAGTCTGCAAATGAAAACTGCCACATTAAGGCTGCAGTGGCATCTGCAGTGCCATCAGTTTTATAGTGTGCATATATAATTAAAACATATATACTGTACATGCATATATATAATTACAAAATGAGCAGGATTTTAAAGCCTAAACTGGCTTACTAAAAAAGCCTCATATGTCCTTAAAATGTATAAAAAATATTTGGTAAGGCAAATTAGGCATAGAGTTATTGATGAATGTGTAATAACACTGCTAAATTTGGCCTGGGCACCTAGACATAAATGACCTATGGTCATACAAAGCTTAAACTTGGTTTTAAAACATGAGTAATTGGGAGAAGAGTGTTGTTCCCTTGACCTTTGTGGACATCATCTATACAACCTATAAAAGAGACCATCCAAATGTATTATTGTGAATTATTTGTAGACACTAATAAAGCCAACAACTTACCTCAAATCATGTTTCAAAAGATTTTTTTTTTTATTTTTTTATCTCATTTTAAACAAATTCTAGGCATTTTTAAAACCCAGTGCCACCTGACCCCCTTCCCACTGCCCAGTTGCCTAGAAATATCAGTAAGGATTTGGAGATGTCAGTTGAGTCCATTTGGGCTGATTTTCTTTAGAAGTTCGTGATGGCAAGACTAAGCTCATCATCCCTACCTGAAAATGGCAGGGTGTAGGAGAGGGGGAGGTGAAAAAACTGGAAGAAAGTGGTAACTTGACAAGCGATGTCCAGGAAGCAGAAAAGAGGACGTTGTGTGACAGGACAACATATGTGTGCATTTTAAGAGAAATAGCAGCTTGTTGCTGCTTGGCTCCTCTATAGATCAAAGAGGAATAGTGATCCTGGATATACCATCTTAAAATCAGAGAATTGCGCTTCCAGAAGGCCACTACATCCATTTATCGACCATCATTCTCCATTTTGCTCACATTTGACTCTGCTATTGTATCATGAGGCAGAGGTTCCAGTGTATTTTCAGTGGGTACTCCATTAGCAAAGTGTAATCCTCTGTGGGCTTAAAACCAGAGCACCCTGACACCACTTCTCTGGTGAGGGCAATCAACTGGAGTCCAAGAGGTTGATAAATTCAAGGGCAAAGGGACAGATTGTCTTATACTTCAGTCTGATAATCGCCATCTGACATATCCATAGATATACGTGGAGGCTGTTCCCAGTCTACACAGCGTAGGCCCAGGCGGTCATGGATCTGTGAAGAGCGTGCTCTATAACTATCCCAAACCTTCTGATGGGGACCAGCTGGACTTGTCTTCTCCTGGGAAGTCAATATCAGAGGTCAGGCAACAGAGATCCATATCAATGAAAACATTATTACAATGCATTAGCGATACCTGCAATCTGATTTTTCTTCATTTCTATTTAGACAATAAAGATATATTTATTTAAGATTCTCTGTATTATTTCAGAATAGATGCCTATAATGCACCACCATGAATCTTAATCATTTAACCTGCCAATATGGATTACATTGCACCTGTGAAGATCATTGGTTTAATTATCTTATGAGTGCTCACATGCATGGTCCGAATGGGTGACATTCCTAGCCCAGCGATGGAAAAATGGGCTATCTGCACGTCATGATATTAATACATTTCTGTAAGCAGCAACTGAGGGAACATCAATAGATGAATTAATGAATCAGTCAATAGATGAATCTGCTGATAAATGGAACTGCATGGAAATCAATGAATGGAACTAGTTTTCAGATAGATGTGTCTGACCTTAATAAATTAATAGGTCAGTCTAAATTTGGAGAAGTCAATGAATGTATCTTCCTCCAATAGCATCAAGGGATGTAGCTAATTCAGACAATGTTGACAGTTATATTTGAACTAGATGACGTTGAGGAGTGTATTAAGCATGGAGAAAAAACTCTTAATAGCACAAATACACTGAAAAATGGTGTTTGTATTTCTAAGGATGCCAGAATGAAGATGGTAAACTTTCAGTATATGAATCAAAGTAACAATTCATTTTAACCAAGCATGCTTACTGAGATTCAGTATAAAGTGATATGGCAAAACTGTGCCAAATAAACTGTGGATCACAAGTGTTTTAATATGCAAAACTAGGGATGCACAGATACTTTTCGAGTACCAGTGCAGATACTTGGCATTTTCATGAGAACTACCAGGGTTGCAGCGGTTGCAGCTGGGACCTGGCTCTGGCACTCCACCACTGTCCTGAAATCATTAGTCTGTATTGTTTTAGAAAAACTGTCACATGACAATAAACAAAAATGTATCAGTACTCATACTTGTAAGTACTCGGCAAGTACCAGTACTCGTACTCACAAAACTGGTATCTGTGCATCCCTTTATTTATATTTATAAAAACAAAATCATACATTAAAACAGAGATGTGCTAATCCCAGGAGCTCCGTGTGCTCCTTACAAATGACAGCTGCCTCCTAATTTTTTAAATTTTCTCTAGTCTAGTCTTGGAGCTCAAAAGTATCGGTAGATGTACTCGTACTTGTACCGAGTACTGTACTTGTACCGAGTACTGTACTTGGTATCTGTGCAACCCTATGCAAAACAAAATATAGAATTTCTCAAACCATTATTTTTTTCCAATATCTGTAACCCCTTTGTATTTCTGTAAATAAATATATAACTTTAAGGTATCTCTAAGTCTCTATTTGCCATACACACTTTAAAAAATTCAAAGCATTAGGCACCCACTTCCCAGCATTTAGCTGTCACTGCGGTGGGAAGGTACAGAGCATAGCAACCTCTAAACTCCTAATGATCTTAAAGCATGGCAAGTGGAGACAACAGAGCATTCTGGATGTCTGGTTTAGGACATTAGCTAATGTTCTTATTATCAGATTCGAAACTGAGTGTCCATAGGTTATATTTATATATTCTAAGTGTATGTAGGCCAGTGCATATTTTTATGGTGCAACCTATGTATGTACACATACACACTAGTTTAAAGAAGAACTCCAGGAAATGTTTTCTTAACCCTTGCAGTGGGGCTACCGCATCACTGCAAGGGTTAAGTGCTCGTTTTTGTCTAGGTTCAAAAAGAACCAAGTTATATTCACCCAAAACTCCGAGCTGGCCAGCTGTCACAGCCTCTCTCCTCCTTCACTGCAGCATTGGAATCTTCCTCAGCATCCTCAGTCCTATCCACTGTGTATAGAATGTGATGATTTACAGAACCTGAGATCGCTGCAGAGGAGGGGGAGAGAGGCTGGAAGGACCGGTTTAAGAACAAGCCATCTTGGAGCATTGTGTGAATACAACTAAAATCTATTAATGGATATATGTAGTGACATTTTGTAAGCTGAACAGTTATTATCCAGGAAAGTGAACCAAGGATCTGGCTGATTATAAAAATCAGCTGGTCCTGACAGTGGTGGGTAAAATCTCTAACCAGTATATTCCTGGTGGAATTTCTGTGTCTGTTTTCCCAGTTCCACCCGATTGCAGCAGCCCTAACAAGCCCAAGGTTGAATAAGGTATTTTTTTTTCTATTAAAGAGCCTGCAGTGCAAGGTGTGACACATCTCCTGCTGCAGCAGAACGATTGAGGCCCTCCAGAGTAGGGAGTGGAATATATTATGGCAGGGAGATGTCTTAACTTAAAGAGGAACTCCAGGATTTAAAAACAAAAAATCTTGCAGTGGGTCTACCCCCACACTGCAAGGGTTAGCTGCTTGTTCTGGTCTAGGGGAACAAATAAAATATACTTACCTGATCTTTGCTCCTACCTGGTTGCTAGACCAATCCCTGGAGCATATTCTCCCCTGGGATCCAGTAGTCTAAGAACCTTTGAAGTCATTGCATCTAATGCAGGTCCATTGACTTTCATTAGACATGAGGACATGTTATACCACTGCCACAGCCACAGAGTTGAGCACTGATACTGCCGCAAGACCAAGTATTAGGTGAATATATCTTCTGTATTCTAGCCCCTAAACCAAAACAAGAAGTTAACTTCACTGCAAGAGATAGTTGTATAAACACCTGGAGTTCTCCTTTAAGTCAGAAGCAAGTGGCTCAGCTAACTGGTATCTATCTACACCTGATGTATTACTTTTGGGTGGAATAAGCATTCATTTACACTATTTATTCTGGAAGCCGGTAACTGATAAATGCCAACACAAAGGTATAACACTAACACAGCAGAGACATGAAAAATAATGCTGCACTAAATCACACAGCAGTGGGTATTCTGTAATTGCTCTTTTCATTTTAATTAAAGTAATCTCTGATTTGCATTAATATTTTATTATCTTCAGGAGACAGAAATTAAACAGAACAACTGGCTTGAGTACAACACCATTATTCTTTAGGTTCAACTTCATACATAAGAAATGTGCCGTAGGGTGTCTATCTCAAATGTAATGTTAGATGCTATGTAGTTGTTTTAGTACAACTGATTGATTTACATTACCTACATGGACTGATTTTTTAAGCTTTCAACTCAAGAAAAACAAGGATAGAGTTTTGTATTCAAACGAATCGTCAGCAACAATAGGTCAAAGTAATTAAGTATGTTAGTCCTAGTAGTGACAGCCGCTTGACTACCATATTCTGTCACTCACAGTTACATTTCTAATGTCATGTTCACTTTATTGGTTGTGATTGGAGTAAACAAGCTATCACTGGAAACTTGCAAGACCAGAGGCCTGCAGGGTATGCAGGAAGGAAGAAAATGGGAAGCACATATGTTTCTTTCATTTATGACATAGTAAATAATGTTACTCACACTGGCTGAGGTTCTCTCCACTGCTCCTCCGGAGGATATGCTCCAGCGTTTGTCTCTCTGGATTACAAACATAGCAGAAGAGTGACATGGCAGTGTTGTCAGATAAAACAGAGGCAGTAATGGTACCAAGTCAATAGCAGCTGTAGAATGGCCAATGAGGTAGTAATCATAGCAACAAGCATGCTAACAGCAGCATGCCTGCCTATTGAATCATGTTCAGGGATATCTAATATGATAGAATGAAAGAGGGAGCGGGGGCAATAGGTAGAAATCAAGAGGGCTGAAGACTGTCCAAGAGATCTAATTAGCTGCAAGTATTATAAGCTGAAATGATACTTTGATAAACTCGATATATTTGGTATCTAGTAGTTCTCTTTCCTCGGTTAAAAAAAAAAATAAATTCCCAGCGTCAAGGAGATTTTTTATGCAAGTTTGTGATGTTTCACATGCTAAATTAGCCACTAGATAAACCGTGTTTTATTGATTTATATGGATGATGTTTGCTTCCCATAACAGAGCAAGCACTTTTGCAAAGCGGTTTAATCTGTAAATGTCAATAGACAGAGAAAAAACTGTCTTTGTGGGAAAAAAACCCCACTAAAAAGGTCAATATGCCTAAAAATAATTCATATTCATGTTGTGGTCAGATCACCCACCATTACCTCCCTTCATGCTGCAACAATGTTAGTCTCACTTCTCCTCATGCATCTTGCATAAGGTAGGACCAATACAAAATTGAATATAGAAAGACACACCTATAATGGTCCAGTAAACCTGAGAAATCAAGTGCAGCATTACGTGAGAAGCTGATAGATGATTTTAAAAGAAAACTATGGCCCAGCCTTTTATGGCCATGGTTTTTTTTAGGGTCACAAGAGGACATATACTATGACCTCCTGTGACCCAAAACCTAGCATATAGCGGATTATTGTCTGCTATATACTCACAGCACAGAGCCACGTTGCAGCCAGGAAAGATCCCGATAATATTGACCTGATTTATAGCTGGCTCTGTTAGAGAGGGTGGGGGGAGAAGATGGGGAACTGAGCTATCTGCGTTATGTGATAACTCAGTTCTCGATCTATAGAGCCGACATGTGACAGCTTCAGTGTCACACGTCAGCTCTAATTATGGGGATACCTGTATTTCACTCTTCCCATAATTCTTCTTTAAGCTGAACTGAAGTCTTACACTTTTTATATTCCATTACAGTCCTCCTGTACACCTGAATGTTATAGGTGATTTGTTTTTGCTGGGAAATACCGTAAGACACTTCATAGAGGAAATGCTGCTTTCAGGGCTCACACTGCAGTGCTCTGTGCTGACAGAGCTGAATAACAGCCACACCCCTCAGCAGAAGTATCCACACACAAACCTGTATTGCACAGAAAGGGAGGGGTGTATCTAACCAGCTACATTACACTGCTGAGAGCAGTGGGTCTTACTCTGGTGCCTATTGGATGGTACAGTCATATTAAGACTCCTCCCTGTACAACTGCTGTAACAGGAAAGTGGATGGAAGACTAGGAAAATGGACTTTCTTTACAGAAAGTCTAACTTTGCATTTAGCATTTATTTCTTATTTCGGTAGTGGGTAAAATGACCCAATCTCAGCTGTAGAAAGTCAGAAAGAGATGGACAGGAACATGTCTTTTTAGTGTACATTTTTACTGTGAGAAAAACATGTGAAGAGAGTGTTTGCGCACCTTTCCACTGGCATCCCGGTACCTTTCCAGTGTATGGAACTTGCGGTTCAATTCATGATAAAGCTCTGAGTGTCTTTTTCTTGTGTGCATCACTTTCTGCAAAAAGTCAACTATAGCATTAACATACAGCAGTCCAGTGCTGTCAGCCCTTGTAGCTTAATTCATGAAAAAGTATCATGCATCTCAAATCCCAGTGCTACCATGCAGATGTAGGCCTTAAGTGTGGGTAAAAGTGCTCACCTCAAAGTCCAAATCTGAGTATCTCAATCGCTTCCGCTGGGGGAGAAACACAGGGACAGGTTGATGTGGTTTCTATGTGAGGAGGAAAAGAGAAAGGGAGGAAGATGGATTGAGAGAAGGGAGAAAGGTGCACATATAAACACAGTGACGGAAAAGTGCTACCCCTTTGTATTTCTGTAAATAAATATATAACTTTAAGGTATCTCTAAGTCTCTATTTGCCATACACACTTTAAAAAATTCAAAGCATTAGGCACCCACTTCCCAGCATTTAGCTGTCACTGCGGTGGGAAGGTACAGAGCATAGCAACCTCTAAACTCCTAATGATCTTAAAGCATGGCAAGTGGAGACAACAGAGCATTCTGGATGTCTGGTTTAGGACATTAGCTAATGTTCTTATTATCAGATTCGAAACTGAGTGTCCATAGGTTATATTTATATATTCTAAGTGTATGTAGGCCAGTGCATATTTTTATGGTGCAACCTATGTATGTACACATACACACTAGTTTAAAGAAGAACTCCAGGAAATGTTTTCTTAACCCTTGCAGTGGGGCTACCGCATCACTGCAAGGGTTAAGTGCTCGTTTTTGTCTAGGTTCAAAAAGAACCAAGTTATATTCACCCAAAACTCCGAGCTGGCCAGCTGTCACAGCCTCTCTCCTCCTTCACTGCAGCATTGGAATCTTCCTCAGCATCCTCAGTCCTATCCACTGTGTATAGAATGTGATGATTTACAGAACCTGAGATCGCTGCAGAGGAGGGGGAGAGAGGCTGGAAGGACCGGTTTAAGAACAAGCCATCTTGGAGCATTGTGTGAATACAACTAAAATCTATTAATGGATATATGTAGTGACATTTTGTAAGCTGAACAGTTATTATCCAGGAAAGTGAACCAAGGATCTGGCTGATTATAAAAATCAGCTGGTCCTGACAGTGGTGGGTAAAATCTCTAACCAGTATATTCCTGGTGGAATTTCTGTGTCTGTTTTCCCAGTTCCACCCGATTGCAGCAGCCCTAACAAGCCCAAGGTTGAATAAGGTATTTTTTTTTCTATTAAAGAGCCTGCAGTGCAAGGTGTGACACATCTCCTGCTGCAGCAGAACGATTGAGGCCCTCCAGAGTAGGGAGTGGAATATATTATGGCAGGGAGATGTCTTAACTTAAAGAGGAACTCCAGGATTTAAAAACAAAAAATCTTGCAGTGGGTCTACCCCCACACTGCAAGGGTTAGCTGCTTGTTCTGGTCTAGGGGAACAAATAAAATATACTTACCTGATCTTTGCTCCTACCTGGTTGCTAGACCAATCCCTGGAGCATATTCTCCCCTGGGATCCAGTAGTCTAAGAACCTTTGAAGTCATTGCATCTAATGCAGGTCCATTGACTTTCATTAGACATGAGGACATGTTATACCACTGCCACAGCCACAGAGTTGAGCACTGATACTGCCGCAAGACCAAGTATTAGGTGAATATATCTTCTGTATTCTAGCCCCTAAACCAAAACAAGAAGTTAACTTCACTGCAAGAGATAGTTGTATAAACACCTGGAGTTCTCCTTTAAGTCAGAAGCAAGTGGCTCAGCTAACTGGTATCTATCTACACCTGATGTATTACTTTTGGGTGGAATAAGCATTCATTTACACTATTTATTCTGGAAGCCGGTAACTGATAAATGCCAACACAAAGGTATAACACTAACACAGCAGAGACATGAAAAATAATGCTGCACTAAATCACACAGCAGTGGGTATTCTGTAATTGCTCTTTTCATTTTAATTAAAGTAATCTCTGATTTGCATTAATATTTTATTATCTTCAGGAGACAGAAATTAAACAGAACAACTGGCTTGAGTACAACACCATTATTCTTTAGGTTCAACTTCATACATAAGAAATGTGCCGTAGGGTGTCTATCTCAAATGTAATGTTAGATGCTATGTAGTTGTTTTAGTACAACTGATTGATTTACATTACCTACATGGACTGATTTTTTAAGCTTTCAACTCAAGAAAAACAAGGATAGAGTTTTGTATTCAAACGAATCGTCAGCAACAATAGGTCAAAGTAATTAAGTATGTTAGTCCTAGTAGTGACAGCCGCTTGACTACCATATTCTGTCACTCACAGTTACATTTCTAATGTCATGTTCACTTTATTGGTTGTGATTGGAGTAAACAAGCTATCACTGGAAACTTGCAAGACCAGAGGCCTGCAGGGTATGCAGGAAGGAAGAAAATGGGAAGCACATATGTTTCTTTCATTTATGACATAGTAAATAATGTTACTCACACTGGCTGAGGTTCTCTCCACTGCTCCTCCGGAGGATATGCTCCAGCGTTTGTCTCTCTGGATTACAAACATAGCAGAAGAGTGACATGGCAGTGTTGTCAGATAAAACAGAGGCAGTAATGGTACCAAGTCAATAGCAGCTGTAGAATGGCCAATGAGGTAGTAATCATAGCAACAAGCATGCTAACAGCAGCATGCCTGCCTATTGAATCATGTTCAGGGATATCTAATATGATAGAATGAAAGAGGGAGCGGGGGCAATAGGTAGAAATCAAGAGGGCTGAAGACTGTCCAAGAGATCTAATTAGCTGCAAGTATTATAAGCTGAAATGATACTTTGATAAACTCGATATATTTGGTATCTAGTAGTTCTCTTTCCTCGGTTAAAAAAAAAAATAAATTCCCAGCGTCAAGGAGATTTTTTATGCAAGTTTGTGATGTTTCACATGCTAAATTAGCCACTAGATAAACCGTGTTTTATTGATTTATATGGATGATGTTTGCTTCCCATAACAGAGCAAGCACTTTTGCAAAGCGGTTTAATCTGTAAATGTCAATAGACAGAGAAAAAACTGTCTTTGTGGGAAAAAAACCCCACTAAAAAGGTCAATATGCCTAAAAATAATTCATATTCATGTTGTGGTCAGATCACCCACCATTACCTCCCTTCATGCTGCAACAATGTTAGTCTCACTTCTCCTCATGCATCTTGCATAAGGTAGGACCAATACAAAATTGAATATAGAAAGACACACCTATAATGGTCCAGTAAACCTGAGAAATCAAGTGCAGCATTACGTGAGAAGCTGATAGATGATTTTAAAAGAAAACTATGGCCCAGCCTTTTATGGCCATGGTTTTTTTTAGGGTCACAAGAGGACATATACTATGACCTCCTGTGACCCAAAACCTAGCATATAGCGGATTATTGTCTGCTATATACTCACAGCACAGAGCCACGTTGCAGCCAGGAAAGATCCCGATAATATTGACCTGATTTATAGCTGGCTCTGTTAGAGAGGGTGGGGGGAGAAGATGGGGAACTGAGCTATCTGCGTTATGTGATAACTCAGTTCTCGATCTATAGAGCCGACATGTGACAGCTTCAGTGTCACACGTCAGCTCTAATTATGGGGATACCTGTATTTCACTCTTCCCATAATTCTTCTTTAAGCTGAACTGAAGTCTTACACTTTTTATATTCCATTACAGTCCTCCTGTACACCTGAATGTTATAGGTGATTTGTTTTTGCTGGGAAATACCGTAAGACACTTCATAGAGGAAATGCTGCTTTCAGGGCTCACACTGCAGTGCTCTGTGCTGACAGAGCTGAATAACAGCCACACCCCTCAGCAGAAGTATCCACACACAAACCTGTATTGCACAGAAAGGGAGGGGTGTATCTAACCAGCTACATTACACTGCTGAGAGCAGTGGGTCTTACTCTGGTGCCTATTGGATGGTACAGTCATATTAAGACTCCTCCCTGTACAACTGCTGTAACAGGAAAGTGGATGGAAGACTAGGAAAATGGACTTTCTTTACAGAAAGTCTAACTTTGCATTTAGCATTTATTTCTTATTTCGGTAGTGGGTAAAATGACCCAATCTCAGCTGTAGAAAGTCAGAAAGAGATGGACAGGAACATGTCTTTTTAGTGTACATTTTTACTGTGAGAAAAACATGTGAAGAGAGTGTTTGCGCACCTTTCCACTGGCATCCCGGTACCTTTCCAGTGTATGGAACTTGCGGTTCAATTCATGATAAAGCTCTGAGTGTCTTTTTCTTGTGTGCATCACTTTCTGCAAAAAGTCAACTATAGCATTAACATACAGCAGTCCAGTGCTGTCAGCCCTTGTAGCTTAATTCATGAAAAAGTATCATGCATCTCAAATCCCAGTGCTACCATGCAGATGTAGGCCTTAAGTGTGGGTAAAAGTGCTCACCTCAAAGTCCAAATCTGAGTATCTCAATCGCTTCCGCTGGGGGAGAAACACAGGGACAGGTTGATGTGGTTTCTATGTGAGGAGGAAAAGAGAAAGGGAGGAAGGGAGGAAGATGGATTGAGAGAAGGGAGAAAGGTGCACATATAAACACAGTGACGGAAAAGTGCAGTAAGGACAGTTTGGGACAAACCAAAAACAGGTGTTTTTTAACAGAAGCAGAGCAAGCTAAGAGTTACAAAGTGATGAACACTATGGGGCGGAGAAACCAGTGAAAGGAGACGGCGGAGTAATGATGGTGAGGATGAAGGAAATTAAAGGGAGGAAGATGGATTGAGAGAAGGGAGAAAGGTGCACATATAAACACAGTGACGGAAAAGTGCAGTAAGGACAGTTTGGGACAAACCAAAAACAGGTGTTTTTTAACAGAAGCAGAGCAAGCTAAGAGTTACAAAGTGATGAACATTATGGGGCGGAGAAACCAGTGAAAGGAGACGGCGGAGTAATGATGGTGAGGATGAAGGACATGGCATGAAAGATGCAGCATTCTACAAAAAGTGCATACACAAAGAGGTGTCTTCCACCTCTCACCTCGAGAGATCCAGCGCTCAGAGATGGACCAGGCACCGTGCGGGGCATTGTGCGACTCCGCTCATTCATCTCTGATGCCAGGATCTGCCGCACAGAAGGTGGCTGTTTAAATGGCAACCCAAACTGGTGCTGAGCAGGTACATAGGGTGGGGTTAAATTAACATTGATGTGGTCCACTGACAGGAAATTTGGGTAACTATCTGTGTCCCCTTGCGGACGCCCTTTGTTTAGATCTGCCAGTTTCATGTTATGTTTTCCATGTTCACGATTGAATGGCTTGAGACTCAGAGTCCTTCGTGGCAACACCATATATTCACTTTCTAACGATTGCTCCTGATGTGGATCACCAAAGTCCAGGGGCCACATGTTTCCCTCAGGGCACAGATAGAGAGGTCCACGCTCCACATTGATTTCTTTCTTTGGCAGTGGATCATTGAGCTCATTTACTGGATTATGAGTTATTTTGGGCACCTGCAGCATAATTCCTCCTTGAGAAGAAAGATGTCCAGGAAGGTGGGAAAAGCTGAGGCCTTCGCTTCCTTTATGTCGTTTTAGATCATCTTCATCATCTAAAGAGATCCGGGATAGAGCTCCAGTCACACTGGAAGGATGGCATGTATTCAGTTCCTTAAATAAAACTGACAAAACATTGGAAATAAATGAAAAACATTAAATGCAATGTGATGACATGCAGCACTTTTACAGCACTCAGAAGTTAACACAAAACTTTTAAATTAGTAACATCTGAAACTTTTTCAGTTAGGCTGAAAAAAGACATATGTCCACTGAAATCAACCAAAAGAGAAAAAAATAATACATCCTTAAAACCTTAAACCCCAGTGCTGATCCCAAGGAAGACAAAAAAGACCTGATACAGCATGGTATCAGTGTCCCTCATTCCCAAAAGCAGCCAGGCATATTCTGTGCTTTTGAAACACATCCAGTCCTTTTTTTGAAGGAATCTATTAAGTTGGCTAGAACATGCTCTTGTGGAAAACTATTCCATATTTTTGCAGCTCTTACTGATAAGAACATTTTCTGTATTAGGAGTTTAGACTTATTTTTTCAGGTGCAAAGAGCATGCTCTTATCTTTATCAGGGGCCTGAAAATAAACTACTTTGCACAAAGTTTTTTACATGGACCATATATGGAATTAATTAAAGTAATCATATTCCTCAGCTCTTCTCAAGGGAGAATTATTTATTCATGTATTTATTTATTTATTATTAGTATTTATATAGCGTCAACAATGTATGCAGAGGTTTACAATCCAAGGTCCCTATACATACACACATTTCAGCCAGATTTTAACGGCCATACATTTGCACGGTGTGTGGGGCTGTCGGCTCCCTTTCAGCCAGCATTCCTCGATCAGCTGATTGAAGGAGCCGGCTGAAAAATCTACATGCGAACAGAGCCGACAGTCAATGAGCTGCCCGCTCTGATCGGGTATTCTGAAAATAAAATGCAGACAGCAGCGATTTCTCGATTGACACGCTGTTTGTGTTGATGGAGGAATCGCCTCAATTTCTTCCTTCAGCCCGCGGGTTGAACAAAAGAAGTTGACAGATGTGTGGCCAGCTTTAGAGAGGAACCAATTAACCTTCCAGCATGTCTTTGGAGTGTGGGAGGAAACCAAAGTACCCGGAAGAAACCCAAGCAAGCACCAGGACAATACATTAAGTTCAAAAAATCTTGGCTCTATGGTCTACAGAAATCTTTATAGAAACAAGAGGTTGTCAGGAGGGGTACAGAGGTTATCAGGAGGGGTACAGAGGTTGTCAGGAGGGGTGCGGAGGGTGTCAGGAGGGGTGTGGAAGGTCTCAGGAGGGGGGCGGAGGGTCTCAGGAGGG